TTTTTTTTCGTTTGCTTTGGAGACAGGGTCTTCCTCTGTCACCCAGGGTGGAGTGCAGTGGCGGGATCATGGCTCACTGCAACCTCTGCCTCTGGGGCTCAAGCAATCCTCCTGCCTCAGCCTCCCAAAGTGCTGGCATTGCAGACAGGAGCCACCGTGCCTGGCCATCTTAGGCATTTTTAAGTATACGGTTCAGTGGCATTAAGTACATTCACATTATTGTACTACCATCACTGCCATCCATCCACAGAATTCTTTATCTTGCAAAACTAAAACTCTATACGCATTAAACAGTACGTTCCCGTTTCTCCCTCCCCACAGTCCCTGCAAACAAGCATTTTACTTTCTGTCTCTTATAAATTTCACTACTATAGGTACCTTCATATAAGTGGAATTACAGTATTTGGCCTTTTGTGAATGGTTTATTTCACTTGGCTTCATCTCTAAGCTTCATTCATGTTGTAGCATGTGTCAGAATTTCTTGCCTTTTTAAGCTTGAATAATATTCCATTGTATGTATTTGTCATGTGTATTATCTTTCTAAAAACAAGGTTTTAGCGTAAGACTAAGACAAGCTCACTTAAAGTTTGGGTTAACTCTACCACCTGTTGGCTCACACAGACCTCTAAAAAAAATAGGCTATTTCCCCAACAGGGCTCTGGTTAGATACCTCTAAGTGCCTATAGTATGATTATGGAAGTATAATTTTATTTAAATTCCAAAAATTTAATCACCATCCCTACTGCGGCTGGGGAGATGGTGACCTAGTCACAAACCCATGCCAAGAGCTGGAGCTCCAGTTGCTCATGCCTGTCCTTGGTCCATCTTCATCAAAATCCCCTATTTTGGAAGAGAGTCAGTTTGAGAACTTCCTTGTAGTAGTTGCACAGGAAGTGAACCCTTGCTAGGTTCCCACTTGTTCTTGAAAATCCATCTAGGCTGAGTTTGTCCTGGTATCTTCATTTCTTTAAATAATTTACATGCTGGCTGGACACAGTGGCTCATGCCCTGTAATCCCAGCACTTTGGGAGTCCAAGGCGGGCAGATCACCTGAGGCCAGAGTTCAAGACCAGCCTGGCCAACATGGCAAAACCCAATCTCTACTAAAAAATACAAAACATAGCTGGGCATGGTGGCAGGCGCCTGTAGTCCCAGCTACTCTGGAGGCTGAGGGACAAGAATTGCTTGAACCCGGGAGGCAGATGCTGCAGTGAGCTGAGATCATGCCACTGCACTCCAGCCTAGGCAATAGAGGGAGACTCCATCTCAAAAGAAAAGAATTTACATTCTTATTAGGTGGAAGAGGGATCTGTTATAACCATGACCTGCTCCTTTCAGCTCTTTATTACATAGCAAATTACATCATAGGGCCCATACTTTGGGTTCATTCTCATCCTGGACAGTGAATGAGTAAGAGCAGGTGTGTGTGTGTGTGTGTGTGTACATGTGTGTGTGTCTGTCTGACCAAGGCCCAGGAGTACAACCCAATAGGTCTCAGTCTGAATTCTACAGCAAACTTGCTTTCCAACCTCTAGGCTAGAAGCCAAATGTGTGGGCAAGTGCAAATTAGCGAAATTATTTCACTCTATTTGCAGGCAGTTGGGTTTCCCTAGTTGCAGCATAAGCATGCTTTTAGCATTTAATATTAGTGATAGGCTTTGCCAGTTGCTTTAATTTCTTATGCCCTCAATCAAGTCAGGACTCTTGTCCCTGTCCACAATATAGCATAAAGACCAAGTGGCTTATGCCGTGTCTCAGAGAATGCTAGTGGTTATTGAAGGATTCTGATTTGGCTTTAAATTGGGGATCATTTGATGTTGCATATAAAATTGTCAAGATACTTTCTACATAGAAGCAATGCACTCATTAGGGCTGAATTAATTTTTGGAATTTAAATAAAATTATACTTCCAGATTTATACCACAGCCACCATCAAGAACCCTCTTATTTCAGTCTCCCATATCTTGCTAAGGGTCTTCTGGGGGTTGCTTGAGGCTTTTTGGCACTGAGTTCCACAGATAAGTCTCACCCAAGAATAAGACAGAGGGTTCTGAATCCGTTACAGAAGACTAGCTTTAGTTTGTGTTGCATAGCAACTCAATTTTAGAGAGAAGACTTCTCAGCAATCTCTCATTAGATCATGTGCTTTACTTTTTAATCAGTGATGCTCTGTACTCTGAAAGTATATTTCTGGCTAGGACAGAGTAGGTATTTATGAAACAAACATGTTAAAAATGTTCTGTATGAAAACTAGAAAAAATTGGAAAAAAATTACTGGTTTTATTCAGCAATGACCATTTCAATCTGTACTGTTAAGTTTTTCTCAATGGCCACTAGATGGCATTTCTCATATAGCATTGACTAAAGTGTGTTACGTTGCTAAAGTCGTCAAAATAAACAATGACCCAACATAATTTCATAAGAACGAAGTTCAGCCATGGGAAATATTTTGTTATTTTCCATGGTGATTCGGTTTTATGTGTTTTTAATTTGGGGAATGCAAACACACAAAACAACAAATCAATACTTAGAAGCACACTGAGAGGCGAATATCTCATTTTTCATCCAAAAAGAATAGAGTTCAATGGAATTTTTAAAGAAAAATAACAGAACTTATGTTTTATCTTATTTTTCTAACCAATATTAGTGTGTGGGAAAACACTGGCAAAATATCATACTTACAGCATCTTGAAAACCAAAGAGCACCACCTGGACTTGGCTAATGCCATGGCTGTCAAAGTCCAGCTCCAGTTTCAGCTTTGACAATGTGGTGGCTATGATTTTTCGGTCAGTGGATCTCACAAATTCTCTGAGGCTTGCAATGAGGGTTGTGATGTGTTCCCATTTTAGTTTCGGTTCTTCAGACCCCTGAGAATAAAAATCAACAATCCTTCAGTCAACATATGCCGGATATACCTGCCATGGGACTCCTATCCCCATACCCCCTGTCTCCGCTTTTTTTTCTTTTGGTAGAGACAAGGTCTCACTATATTTCCCAGGCTGGTCTCGAACTCCTGGGCTCAAGCGAGCCTCCTACCACTACTTCCCAAAGTGCTGGGATTCCAGGTGTGAGCTACCCTGCCTATCCAATTCCCACGCCCCTTTCTGAGAAGAACTGGACTTCCAAATGTCTCCAAAGGAAAGACCATATTTTGAACTATATGGTTCCTCTTCAATCCTCCTACCAACACCAAGAAATAATCAGAGAGAAAAGGTACCTGCCCCACACGCTGGTCAGTAGCCATGATACAGTCAGATAACAAAGCTTTGCCCAAAAAGACTGAGGCCATAAGATTCTTTCAGAAATTTTAATTGGGAACTAAAAAGAGATTTGAGCAATAAGCTATAGGATCTCAACCTGAAAGTCTGCCCAGAAAGAGAAATTATAAAACAGGGTCATGAATATGTCCAACTATAAGAAAAGAAGCAGAAGCAATGGAATTGAGAAAGACAATAGGGAGTGTATTAGTTCGTTTTCACACTGCAGAAAACACACACCCAAGACTGGGCAATTTACAAAAGAAAGAGGTTTAACTGGACTTACAGTTCCACATGGCTGGGGAAGCCTCACATTCATGGCAGAAGGCAAGGAGGAGCAAATCACCTCTCACGTGGATGGCAGCAGCCAAAAAGAGAGAGCTTGTGCAGGCAAACTCCCATTTTTTAAAACCATCAGATCTTGTGAGACTCATTCACCATCACAAGAACAGCGCAGGAAAGACCTGCCCCCATAATTCAATCACCTCCCACCAGGTTCCTCCCATGACACATGGGAATTGTGGGAATTACAGTTCAAGATGAGATGTGGGTGGGGACACAGCCAAACCATATCAGGGAGGGAGAGGAGAAGTGGACAAAAACAGAAATGCGCACCCAGAGGGTCAACAGCAACCAAGCCAGAGAAAAGATGTGCAAACTCTGGGGACTTGAAGTTCCTTAGGCTCATATTCTGTTTTCAGTGCCTGTGAGACTCGGCTAGGCACTATGGTTGGAATTCCTTAAGAGTCTACTTCCCTTATTGCTATGCGTGTCTACCTATAACATGTCCTTGGTACTTCAGTTGTCCTTACAGTGTGTCAATTCCTTGCAACCAAGAGGGGCTAATCTCAAACTTCATTCTTGAAACTACTCCTTACCCATCAAAGAGGCAATTGCTTCTAAGAATGGACCGATGGACTATTTTATTACACTAAAATATATTATAATGTTCAAACAAATGCTCTTTCTCAAACTGAATTTTTCTTTTTGTTTTTTTAAAGAGACAAGGCTTGTCTTTGTCACCCAGGCTGAAGTGCCGTGGTACAATCACAGCTCACTGCAGCCCCTAATTCCTGGGTTCTAGGTCTCTTCCTACCTCAGCCTCCTGAGTAGCTAGGCACTATAGGCACGTGCCACCACACCCAGATAATTTTTTTTAAACTTTTTGTAGAGACTGGGTTTGCTAAGTTGCCCAGGCTGGCCTCAAACTCCTGGGCTCAAGTGATCCTCCCACCTTGGCCTCCCAAAGTGCTGGGATTATAGATGTGAGCCACTTTCCCCAACCTCAAATGGAACTTTTCTCCTTTGAGCAAGTCACACTGCTTTTTTTTCTTTTCTTTTCTTTTTTTTTTTTTTTTTGACAAAGTCTTGCTTTGTCGCCTAGGTTGGAGTGCAGTGGGGCCATTTCGGCTCACTACAACCTCTGCCTCCCAACTTCAAGTGATTCTCCTGCCTCAGCTTCCCAAGTAGCTGGGATTACAGGCACCTGTCATGTCCGGCTAACTTTTGGATTTTTAGTAGAGCTGAGGTTTTACCATGTTGGCCAGGCTGGTCTTGAACTCATGACCTCAAGTGATCTGCCTGCCTCAGCCTCCTGAGTGCTGTAATCTCAAAGGGCTGGGACTATAGGCATGAGCCACCATGCTTGGCCCACACTGCTGCTTTAAGGAAGCAGAGTAGGATGTTATTTGTTCCCATTTAACTGTAAGAAACTTTAAGAAACTATTATCTCATTTTTATTTTATATTGTACATTTTCTTACTGTACCATTAAAATTAAAATTCCTCAACTGGGCTGTGAAAATTATAATTTCTAGGAGTCTATTAAAATAAAAAAGAAATGCACCATTGAGTTCTTTCTCTTAATATATTTTCATTTGGAAGCTCGGTCTCATGTTTATGTTTTCATGAGATAAGATTATATTGAAAAGCTTGAAAGCTGTCATTCAAGGAATATTTTAAAATCACACTGGGAACCATTATAAACTTTGTTGGTTTTTTTCCTTACCACAAACTAAATTGCACCCAAGGAAAAGATTCACAGGCAAAATCATAACACCACGAAAATATATTCAAGAAGAAAAATGTGAGTTATGCAGAAATTGGAAGCTTCCCTTAATAAAAAATCAGTTGCAACATGTTTGCCAATAGCAGGCTTCAAATAACAATCTTTTTTTTCTACGTTAACTTTGTTTTTACAACAGAAAAACATGTTGCTTCTGGTTTTTTATGTGTGTGCCACTGTCCTACAAAGGAACATGCTCTACTCTGGGAAATGTTTTCTGTTCAGGCTATTTCATCTACTTATGTCATCGTTTATTTCTGTTCTGACTCCTGTCTCTCCATGTTAACTCATTCATGTGCCTTCAAAAACAAGCATCTTGGCCAGTATCTGGTGAGCCTGACTCAGTGTCAGCATAGGTTTGACAGTACGCATTTCCTGCACTCCTAGTACCAGGGTGTGATGGTTAATACTGAGTGTGTCTACTCGATTGGATCGAAGGATACAGAGTATTGATCCTGGGTATGTCTATGAGGGTGTTGCCAAAGGAGATTAACATTTGAGTTTGTGGGCTGGGAAAGGCAGACCCACCCTTAATCTGGGTGGTCACAATTTCATCAGCTGCCAGTGTGGCTAGAATATAAGCAGGCAGAAAAATGTGAAAGGAGAGAGTGACCTAGCTTCCCAGTCTACATCTTTCTCTCGTGCTAGATGCTTCCTGCCCTCAAATATTGGACTCAAAATTCTTCAGTTTTGGAACCAGACTGGCTCTCCTTGCTCCTCAGCCTGCAGATAGCCTATTGTGGGACCTTGTGATCATGTGAGTTAATACTTAATAAACTCCCCTTTATGTGTGTATATATATATGTATTCCATTAGTTCTGTCCCTCTAGAGAACCCTAATACACAGGGTCTTCTTCAAAGGTGCTCTCCAGTCTTCATCTTTTAAATTTCCTTCCTCAAAAACCAGGAGTGGATTTCAGAAGGACGTTACAGATTACAAGGCTTTTCATGGTTTAAGGTTTGAGGACCTGTCCAATATCCAGATTTGGTTTTGTTATAAAGTGTAGGCTTAAATATAAATACATATCTAGAAATAATACAATGACAAGAATTATTTCTGATTGATTGTAGAAAAAATTAAAGATATTTACATAACTATAACTAGCCTGCTTGATAATAACAATAACAGTTAACAGTTGTGGAATATTTTCTGTTATGACTTAAATCACTCACAATCTCCATTACTCCTGATAGCAACCTTATAAAGTAGACTCCTCCATTATAGATGAGGAAGTTCAGGCTCTGAAAGGTTAAATCAGTTGCCCAAACTGCACAGCCTTTAAGTGATGGAACGAGGCCCCGAACAGAGGGAAATCCAAGCTAAGCCCAAGCTCCTAACCATTATATTCTACTGCCCCAATGACGTGCAGTAGCAGCTGTCAACCTGGGTCAGGACCTGTTCTACCACTGAATCACCATCTGATGTCACAGGAAAGGATTCCCAACATCCTTAACAGCACAGTCAGAAGGGCCCCCACCATCATGTGGCCATCACGGATGCAGCATGTGATTCTGCTCAGCAGTTTCGGGTACTCACTGGTAGCTTCATGCTGGTCCACTAAGGCCTCTGATGGTTGCTTTTAAGGTTTTCTTTCATTTCTTCTTTTACAGAGAACATTCAAATGCACTTTAAAACTAGGAGGCACCAAACAATTGAATATGACTAACCACTCCCACATTTAAGTATTTCAGCACAGTCATAGAAGTGATGACCAAGGCAGTCCTATTCCTGATGGCACTATGGTCCAGCAGGGAGACAAAGAATAGACCCCAACAAGCTGGCATTTCCTGTACTGGAAAAGCACATTCTTTGGGGTTAATTAGAGATTTAGGCAATTCCTGGATTTTATGGGTTTTTGACCTAAAACCAAGCATCTTAAAGGTCCACAGGAGAGGCCTTCACTCCGCAGTGGCTAATGGTGATTTACTTTCCTTCTTCACCTCCAATGCCTACCCCTCACCCCACTTTACATTTTTCCTAGCACTTGTCACCATCAGGCCTACCAGCAAGGCAGAGCAATGTGGTGGTTAAAGCAAAAACTTCGGAGCCAAACTGCCTGGGTCAAAATCCTAACTCCATCACTTAGGACTGCATGACTTTGGCAAACTACTCAAGTCCCCTGTGCCTGTTTCCTCATGTGTAAAATGAGGATGCTAATAGAATTACTGGTATAGTACTACTGTCATGAAAATTAAATGAGCAAATACACGTGGAATACTAAGAATAGTACCTGGCCTAAAGAAAATGTTAGCTGTTATTACTATATGTTTTATATATATGTATAGTTTTTCTTCTTCCACTAGAATATCACCTTCAAGGGGATGCAGATACTTTTGTTCGGTTTGCCAGGGTATCCCCAGCACATACTACAGTGCCTGGCCTTTGACTGATGCTCAGTAAGTATTTGTTGAATGAATGAATGAACTCCGAGTGCTGCCCAGCTGCTCTCTCCATCCAGCTTGGTTCCTCTTCTTGGGTTAACCCATTTCTGTTCTCAGTCCTTGAATGATCACAGTGAGCCACAGGAAAGGCCAGAGAGAAAGGTGATGGCTCGAGACCGCTCCAGTCTCCACTGCCACGAAGCATGTATGACACTCAGAGGCCTGCTTGCTCTCACTCTAGAGCACTCTAGAGCCCTGACTCAGAGGCCAGCTTCCCCTCACTCTAGAGCCCCTTCTTCCTGTGCCTCAGAGTAACTGCCTGAGACAGCTTTCCTTTAGGACCCAAGTCAAGGTTTTTGAGAGCGTGTAGAAGACACTCATTTCAGTTCTCCTTGTACCGAGGCCCTACTGGCACGTATATGGCCTTTCAGCTCCTTTTGTGAGATCTAAAGAGATGGATGCTAGGGAATTCCAAAGGCGATAAAATGTTCAGCAGAGAAGCACAGTGAGGTTCTCAAGACAGAGACAGGCTGAGATTGTTTAGTAAGAGCCAAGAGAGAGCTTTGCTCCATTTATATCTCAATAAAAGATGAGAACAGGTAGACTGTTGTACTGAGAGACTAAAAACTTGGCTGGACTCCTCCAGCCCCAACCTTTCTTGCAGCTATTTCCTCAGGACACACGGAGGGAAGAAGCTATGAGCAGTAGTCCACAGTGATCATGAAGGACAGGTGGAGGCCACGGTAAGGGAGGCAGGTAGATGAGTTCCCAGCACCCACTGAACTAAAAGAGGATGACAAGTGTCATACCAGGGATGACCGTGTCTGTGGAAGGTTGTATCCACAAGAAGCTTGGGGCTGAGGAAAATCCATTTTTCTCCTGGTGAATATTTGGGAAGGGGATTCTTCCTTGTATCTGTACACAGAATTCCAGGGAACACACTTTCCCAGGTATTATGGTTCTGTGTCCTCCAAATTCATATGTTGAAGCCCTAATGCTCAATGGGATATATTTGGAGACAGGGCCTCAAGGGGGATAATTAGGACTAAGTGAATCATAAGGGTGGGGCCCTAATCCAATTGAACTGATGTTGCTGGTGTCCATATCAGAAGAGGAGGAGACATCAGGGCTGCAAATGCACCAGAAAAGACCATTTGAGTGTATAAGCAGGTGGCCATCTGCAAGCTAAGCAGACAGGCCTCAGGAGAAACCAAACCTGCCAACCCCTTGATCCTGGATTTTCGGCCTCCAGAACTGTGAGAAAATACATTTCTGTTGTTTAAGTCACCCAGTATGTGATAGTCTGTTATGGTTGCCTGCCCTGGTTTGGATGTGATTTGTCCTGCCAAAACTCATGTTGAAATGTAATGATACTGAGAGGCGGCAGAGTCTTTAAAGAGGCATTTGGGTCATGAGGCTCATGAAAGGACTAATGCAGTTCTCATGAAACTGGGTTAGTTCTCAGGAAAGCAAGATGTCATAAAGCCAGTTGGCTCTCCTTGTCCCTCTCTTTTTTCCACTCAAGCCCCGCTGCCTTTCTACTTTCTGCCTTGAGTTGAAGCAGCACGAGGCCCTCACCAGATGCAGATGGGCCACTGGATCTTAGACTGCCTAGCCTCTAGAATCACGAGCCCAAATAAACTTCTTTCCTTTTTAAATTACTGAGTCTCAGGTATTCTATTATAGCAACAGAAAATGGACTAAGACACAGCCCTAGCAAACTAGTATACCAAGGAATGACAGTTTCACTGACAAGCTTTTGTTTATTTCAGAGTACATTTGGCCTTCTAAACTATTATATACAGCAGATCCTCAGATAACATTGTTTGCCCAATGTTGTCTCATTATAACCTTGATGAGAAAACAAAGAATTGATTCCTGGTAGGGGCCACTGTCTGTGTGGAGTCCGCACATTTTCTCCATGTCTGTGTGGTTTTCCCTGGGTACTCTGGTGACATGGTTTGGCTGTGTCCCCATCCAAATCTCATCTTGAATTGTAGCTCCCATAATCCCCATGTGTCATGGGAGGGACCCAGTGGGAGGTAACTGTATCACGGGGGTGGGTCTTTCCTATGATGTTCTCATGATAGTGAATACGTCTCATGAGATCTGATGGTTTTATAAATGGGAGTTCCCCAGCACAAGCTCTCTTGCCTGCCACCATGTCAGATGTGACTCTGCTCCTCATTCACCTTCCACCATGATTGTGAGGCCTCTGCAGCCATGTGGAACTGGGAGTCAATTAAACCTCTTTCCTTTATGAATTATCCAGTCTCAGGTATGTCTTTATTAGTAGCGTGAGAACAGACTAATACATATGGTTTCCTCTGCATCCCAAGGATGTGCACATTAGGTTCATTTGTGTGTCTGCGTGGTCCATGTGAGTAAGTGTGGGTGTATGTGGATGTGCCCTACAGTGGAATAGTGTCCTGTCCAGGGCAGGTGCCCGCTTGGTACTGAGCTGCCAGAATAGGTTCTGGCCACCTATGGCCCTGAACTGGGTAGATAGTTATCTTGTTTTTATTAATCTTTCTTAAATGAATATAGAGTTCACATTTATTTCAATGTTGAATATTAGAAGTGTTTTAGTCTTTATTTAGGAGTTTGATCATTTTTTTGTGACCAGAAATATGCCATAGGAACTTAACTCTTGTTTATATCAATTAGTCTATGGTAACACTGGTTTGGTTATATGTAATTTTGCTTAAGTTACAGTTTCCAAGGACTTATCAACTACCTTAAGCGAAGACTCACTACAATTTACTTCCCATTGCCCTTCGCCCTCCATCTGAATGTAACCTCACAAGCTCCGGGCTTCTGTTGTATTCACTGATGTTTCCCAGATGCTGAGAGGAGCGACTGGCAGGTAGCCTCGTGCTTCTGTCAGAATTAGCAACTCATGTGGCTTAAAGCGTGTTTATTGATGGAATGAATAAACAAATGAATGAAGAGTAAAAGAGCCTTGTAGGGGCTAGCTGGAATGTCATCAATGTGAAAAATTTGCTTCTGACTTAAAAATAGCTTATGTTCAAAAATGCAGTGAAAAAAGCATTTCCCTGTTTTCATATTAATATATTCCCTACTGTAGGATTTGCTTTCTTTTTTCCCCTGGGGTAGGTTTGTTTATCATGAGCACTACAGCTTCCTCCTGCCTTTCACATCATCTGTGACAGCTGCAGGTGGTTAGGACACAGGTAAAATATGTAACCTTTGGGAAATGAAGCACCTGGGAAAGGATTTACCTGAGCTAAAGATTCCATTAGATTTCTCACAATTTTGTCTTGGTCTTCCGTCAGGATCCTGTGAAGGGTGGCTCGCCTCTCACTGTCCTTCCTCAGCATGAAAAATCCGGAATCTTTTTCTTCAGGGGAAGGGGGAGCACTGTGATCTTCAAAATTCTCATCTGGAATGCTGAGAAAATTTATGCGGCATACATCACCGTTTCCTTTATAAAATGACACACTTAACAACACACTTCTCTCACCCCAAATAAAGTCAGGTCTTTACCCCAAAAAGAGTGTCCGAATTCCCTTGACATCTCTTTCTCCGCAGGATTTGGCTCTCGTTTTGAAAGAGAAGGGGTCCGCTTTCAACTCCGTGTCAGGTGAAACTGAGCCGTACTCACTGCTGCTGCTGGTGTCCTCCACCAGCACAGGTACTGGCAAAGATATACTCCTGAGATATTCTGCTTGTGATGAGAGGAGGGAAAAGATAATTGAGGCTTTAAAAAATGTACACATACTGAAACACCCACTGAAAGAGAGCTATATTCTTTGTCAAATATCTTGTTGCAATGAGCAGCATAATTATGCTATGTAAGGGGATGGTCATGTGTTACGACTGCCCCCCTTGCTCAGCAAAACCCATACAGCAGGGCAGCCAGGAAAGGGCCTCCCAGGCCCTGGGAGGGATATCTCTGGGGTACCAAAACAGTCAAGGAAGCAACAGGTTCAGCGGTCTGATCCCCTCATTTTTATTAATTATTTCTATTTATGGGTCTCAGTTTTCGTATTTATAAAATTCAGGGTCAGATTGATAATCTTTAAGCCTGTTCTTCAGGGGCTTAAGGGTCTACGTTAGCATCTTGGAGCTGCCTTGGTTGGGATGAGTGAGGGGGATGCTGTAAGTCTAGACCACAGGTTCCAATCCTGTTATACCTGAAACCAGAGCAAATATGATGACTGTCATATATCACAGTTCTGCTTAAGGATTCATATAAAAAAGAATTCTTCACTGAAAACAAATTTTGGAAACAGATGGACTAGATGATCTCTTAGGTCTGTCCTGGTTCTCAGATACTATGATTTTCTAGTAGACATGAGCTTCTTCATTTGGATGGAGAATAAGACGGTGGAGTTGCCTATATTTCCTCAAACATTGGTTTTAAAGAAAGTAGTTTTTGCCAGAAACATCTTTATCAAACACACATCCTAATGCTACAAAAGTATTTTAATAAAGAATGAAGGTATAAAATTATAGAAAAGGCAATCCACTGTTGCCTGGAATCTCCTCCTTACTTAATTCTTCTTAGGCTGAACTGAATCAACTGCCCCGAACTCAAGGATAGCAGGGGACTCCTGACATTGGTTTCAGCTGTAGGGAGAAAGACGGAAGTATATACAGCTTTCAGGAACAGCTGACCTCATGGGAAACCACCTTACTGGTCAGTAACTGGAAAGTCTCCCCAGGATGAATTGGTTGACTTATCTGCTGTTATTTAAACATTTCTGTAGCTGAATCACTAGAAGGCAGGAAGCAAGAGGAAACCACAAAGAGTTGCTGAATTGACCAATTAAGTATCAGTATGCAAATGATATATGGCAGGGGAAATGCCTGGCATGTATTGTTTCCAAATATTCTGGAGCAGCTCATGGGCCTAGCATTTCATGGACCATATTTTAGGCAGTGCTGCTACAGCAGAAAGGAAATGGGTGACCTCTTCCGCGCTGATAATAGTAAGGTTGTCTGAGAGAAGACAGGTTTGAAAGGGGGCTCGAACACCGAACTGCTTTTGAGTCATTCCTGGGGAAAGTCAAGGTCTAGAGTGTGCCTTGCTTCACTTTAGAGTCAACATCATTGCTATTTGGGGGAAACAGATTTCAGAACAGAAAAAAACAGCTACTTGGGAGAAAGAGTTTCACTGCTATGAGATGTCAAGCCCCTAAAGTTAAATGTTGCTGATGGAAGAATACAGCTGAAGAAGATCTCTTGGCTTGACTGAGTAGCCGATCTCTTTATAAGAAAGGCTACAAGCCCTTCAGTGGAACTCACTGCTGATCTTTGAGACTTGGTGAGTTTCTTCACCAGCCCATTTTCATAAGATGCATGCCACACTCAGAAATGGAGGTGTGCATCATTCATATTTCAAAGACAAAATTGTTGTTTCTTGTGCGTAAAGAGACTAAATCCTATCTAGAACAGTACAAGATGAGGGATTGCTATCATGTGTTTCCGTGTTTGTGTGTGTATGTGTGTGTGTGTGTGTGCGCCTGTGGAGTACATGCATGTGTATGTAAAGAAGAGAGGGAGTAAGGACTTGAATTATCTTGTATTTTGGCTTTTTGGTCATATCATGTGGTTTGATTATCCACTAATGAGAGGACTTGTGTCATACCTGTGAATTTTAATATTGCTGTGACTACTGACTGCCTAAAAGGAGGTCTAATGAGGTAAAACTGTATATGCTTAAGGATGGAACCCAGTGCCTGTTGCTATGGCTCATTAAGGAAATAAAGGGACTTATAGATATTCTGCATGTTCTATGTGCAGAGCCCTGATTCCCTCCTTGGCTTGATTTTATTTTTATTTTTGAGACAGAGTCACACTCTTTTGCTCATGCTGGAGTGCAGTGGCATGATCTCGGTTCACTACAACCTCCACCTCCTGGGTCCAAGTGATTTTCCTGCCTCACTTTCCCAAGTAGCTGGGATTACAGGCGTATGCCACCACGCCTGGCTAATTTTTGTATTGTTAGTAGAGATAGGGTTTTGCCATGTTGGCCAGGCTGGTCTCAAACTCCTGACATCAAGTAATCCACCCCCTTCAGCCTCTCAAAGTGCTGAGATTACAGGTGTGAGCCACCGCAGCCGGCCTGCTTGATTTTAAATGAGTGAACCTGATTCTAGATTGAGTCCCCTTCTCTGTTAGGCACATGCATTCATTCATCCAACATACAGTTGTGGATCATCTACTATTTGTCAGGTAGTCAGCAAGAGTTGCTGATGGACCAGAGTGAAGGGTGTCAAAAGGAAGATCAAAAATGACCCCAAAGTAGAATTCTGGCCTAAGAAACTGAATGGATGCGTATTGTACTTATATACTAAGATAAGAAATAATACAGGCCAAAAAGGAAAGTTCTTTTTAGTGGATAAGGGGTGTTATTTGACAGTGCAGTTTGAAAAATGAAGAAGGCAACTCGGGGGGACAGGCGCAGTGGCTCACGCCTGTAATCCCAGCAGTTTGGGAGGCTGAGGCAGGTGGATCATCTGATGTTGGGAGTTCAAGACACCTGGCCAACATGGTGAAACCCCGCCTCTACTAAAAATACAAAAATTAACCTGACATGGTGGTTTGCCTGTAGTGATGGCCACTCAGGAGGCTGAGGCAGGAGAATTGCTTGAACCCAGGAAGCGGAAGTTGCAGTGAGCCAAGATCATGCCACTGCACTCTAGCCTCCAGCAAGACTCCATCTAAAAAAAAAAAAAAAAAAAAAAAAAAACTAATTGGATATGAGTCTGGAGCTCAGAAGACTGGGCTAGATAGAACCTCAGCAGCCTACTGGCTGGAGATGGTATTTAAAGTAAAGGATGACATAATTTGGGGAAAGATAAAAAGACAGCATAGACCCAGCCCTTAAGAATGCCAATATTTAGAGGAAAAGAAGGGGATGAACAGGCAGCCAAGGAGAATGACAAGGAGCAGCCATGAGGTTGGAAGAAAACAGAGAAAATGGGGTGTCATGGAAGCCCACACAGGAGAGGGCAAAAGTAAGAGAGAACGGTCATCCAGGCCGAGAGCCACGGAGAAGTTGAGTAGGTTGAGAAAGGCACTTGTTGGATTTGACTGAAGAGATCTCATTAGACCTTGGCCAGAGCAGGCCCAGTGATCATGTGGAAGGAGAGACGCTACATGGGTGGGAAGGAAGAGGTGGAGATCTGGCGACACTGTACTTCAAGACAGGAAGCTGGGATGGGGGGCAAAAAAAAATGGTGGTGGTATCAGCCAGTGAGGCCATTTGTAGATCAGGGGAAGGATGGGTTTAGGACAGAAGACACTACAGCATGTGTATATGGAACTCATCGGGAGAGGCAGAAGCTGGAGGAGTCACAGGGGCTCCACAGGAGCCAGAATTCAACTGTGGGGGATTGGCCTTCTGCAGGACAATGAATGTTTTCTCTATTGTAAGGGGTGGAAACAGCAAGACAGGTGGTGCTGAGACAGGTCGCTTTATACGTTTGTGGTGGAAATAGGATCAAATCCATGCCTGAGATTTCTAGCTTCTTAAGTTATGAATATTTCCAGGCAAGTGAGAATGCATAGAGCCTTTCTGTATCACTGTAAATGGGAAGAAGCTCAACTATAAATATTTCCAGGGGAGCACGGTGACAGTTTCCAGATATCACAGAGGTTACAAGTTCCTTGAACATCAGCTCATACACGTGAGTGACTGGGACCCCAGGCTGCAAGAGAGGAGCCTGGCAGGACTTCCAGTCACAGGCAGCCTTACTGCTGATGTCTTGCCAGGTATTAAGGAGCCCTCCTCTATGGGGTTGACCATGAAGAGTCTAAAAGAGGCTGAATGAACCTCTCTGAGGATAGAACACGTCAAAGGTGCTTCTCTAGGGAGATGATTCTCATTGCCCTATTTCAGGGGCTGATGGGAAGGGGTGTGAGCCCCATACCCCTAAGAGATAGCTTTACCAAGAGGCCGGGGTAGGCTGGAGTCGGGAGGGGTGACTGGCCACCCCATGGACTCTAGATTGCTGGGAGCTCCCGTCTATGGAAGGGAGATAGTGCAACCTTTAAGGAATTAGATACATTCCTGCTTTGGGAAAGTGGGGATTTTCTAAGTCCCTTCCATTGCTGTGAGGGTGGCCTCAAATCCTAACAGCTATTCACGATCACTAGGGATCTTTATGGTTCTCCTTCTCCTAGACAGTTTAGGAACAAAGTCTGGCCACAACACAGTCTCCTAACTGGCCATCCTGCCTCCAGTCTCCAACTGGCCAAACAGAATAATGGTTCTCACACTGCAGTGATGACAAGAATCATCTGGGTTTACTTAAAAGTACAGAATTCCAGCTTGTACCTCCAGATTCTGAGAAGGGTCAGGCATCTCACTTTTTAGCAAGCATTGCAAGAGATCCATGCAGGCAGGATCTGGGATCAACTGAGGCACAGCTATATTCCTAGTGCCTCGTGCCTATATTCTAGTGCCAAGTGCATAGCAGAGGGTTAAAAATGTTATGGAATAAATGTTATTAAATAAACCATCCTCACACAGCTATCGGAATGATCCATCAATAGCTTCACTGTCCAACATGGTCGCTACTACCCTCATATGGTTATTAAAATTAACATTTAAATAATAAAAATTCAGTGCCTCAGCCATGGTAGCCATGTGTAGTGTGTCTAATAACCACATATGACTAGTGGCTGATGTATTGGACAGGGCAGGTACAGGACATTTCTCTTACTACAGAATCATATGTCCAGTGCTGGTCTATAATATTATTTCAGATAAAAAATTTCCCCGGCTCCCCAACCCTCCTTGCTGATTCCTTAGCATTTCATAAGGAGCCCTTTGGGATCTGAGCCTGCTCCCCACTCCAGCATCATCCCTCTCCTTTGACTTTAAGCACCAGTGCTGCTGAGTCAGCAAGGCTTCCTGAACACACAGTAAAGTTTCACACATCCTGGCATTAACTCATGTGAGGAGTGGCCTCACCTGGATCTCCACTCCCCATCCACCTGTTAAGTTCACATTTGTTCTTACTCATCAGGTGCACCTCACTGGAAAGTCTGCCTTGAAACGGCATTCTCAGACTGACTTCAATCACTGTCTCTCCCTTTTGACTCCTCTGCACAGACTAAACTACACTATGGTGGAGATGACTTTTTCCAGTGTTTTTCTCCTATAAGGTCAACAGCTCTTTAAAATCAGGAATTCTGTCTTTATCATCCTTATACATTCAGGGCCTAGCACATTTTCTGTGCACACCATCACTGTACAATTAACATTTAAGTTAACGTGAATTACTTAAATCTCTGGGTCTGTGTGTGGCCATGGGAGAGCAGTCAGGATGAGACAAGTCATGTCTCTCTCTAAAGGGGAAGGGGGTCTCATCGTCACCACCCTCTTACTCCCCTCTTGAGGGGAAGCCAAGTGCAGTTATGGGAGGTAGAGAACCTTGAGAGGTGGGCCTGTGCTCTGGACAGAAACACATATATGGCCTAGAGGAACTACCTGGGGAAGGAAGAGGCCTGTATCTTGCACTCATCTAGGAGAGTAAGAGTAGTGAATAGGTCATTGTTTCAATTAACATGAGGCATGCCATTTTCTATAATACCTGGGAACGATCAAATGGGATTTTAAGCAAGACATGGTGGCTCATGTAATCCCAGCACTATGGGAGGCCGAGGTGGGTAGATCACTTGAGGCCAGGAGTTCAAGACCAGCCTGGCCAACATGGCGAAACCCCGTCTTTACTAAAAATACAAAAATTAGCTGGGTGTGGTGGTGGGCGCCTACAGTCCCAGCTACTCAGGAGGGTGAGGTGGGAGGATCGCTTGAGCCTGGGAGGCAGAGGGTTGCAGTGAGCTGAGATTGTGCCACTGCACTCCAGCCTGGGACTCCATCTCAAAAAAAAAATTGAGGGAGGGATTTTAGCTCCTAATTTGGTTAGCACATCTGTCCTGCTCTCCTAGGGAGGACAGAGAGGAGGCACACCATCCATGTAATGATATTGTTTTAGCTGAGAGTCTGAACAGTTTAATTATGCAGGGAATTGGGGACTGCCCCTTTTTCTAGGCCCAAGTTCACGTGTGAGCATGAGGGGCGAAAGGGCAATAGGAACCTGACTGACTAGAGTTCAGCAGGTTTACACCTTCCATCTCATGCTCACTCTAAGGTACATAGTCACTGAGAAGACATGGGCAGAACTGTCCACTTAAATGATCTCTCTCTCTCTCTCTCTCTCTCGCGCGCGCGCATATGCACGCTCTTGCCAAGTGTGTATAGTTGAGTTCACAGAAGCTAAATGCGTGTGTGTGATGGGAACCTATTTCCTGCGAACAAAAACCAAGCCATGTGGAAGGGATAAAACAATCATGGACTAAACTTCCGGGCACAGCTCCAAGGCTCTTTTAGGATATTATTTTATTTTATTCTCAGAACCAAATCTGTGAAGTAGGTAATGTTACCAGCAAAGAATGACAGAAGAAATGTGCATGTCCCATATTTAGAAAGTGGGTCAGTGGGATCAGAACCCACTTCTGTGTAATTCTGAAGTCAGTGTCCATTTTAGGATACCAGAAGCAGGCTGGTCAGAAGGTTGCCAAGTGCTGCACGGCTGACTTTGTGACAATGCAAGGCTGCCTTCCGGAGCCCAGGCTGTCTGTGGAGAAAAGAGGTACAAGGATGTGCCTTTCCTCTTCTGAGTTTCCTCAGATTCTCAGAATGGAAGACACGGAAGAAGAAAAAGTAGAGAGGCTGTACCCAGGAAACCCCAATTAACAGGCCTCTACTCTGGACTGATTGGCTTTGGGGCATCTGAGCAACCTGCAAAAACCTGCCCCTGCCCCTGGCCTGCAGAACCTATGCACAATGAACATTAAGCCCCCTGAACTCTTTGATCAACCACTCATCCAACTTAGGAAAATCCAACACCATGCTGTTCGTTTTTGTTTTGTTTTGTTTTGTTTTTTTGAGACAGGGTCTCGCTCTGTCACCCAGGCTGGAGTGCAATGGTATAATCACAGCTCACTGCAACCTCCACTGCACCAGGCTCAAGCGATCTTCCCACCTCAGCCTCCTGAGTAGCTGGGACCATAGGCATGCACCACCACACCCAGCTATTTTTTTGTATTTTTAGTAGAGATGGGGTCTCACCATATTGCCCAGGCTGGTATCGAATTCCTGAGCTCAAGCAATCCACCCACCTCAGCCTCCCAAAGTGATGAGATTATAGGAGTGAACCACCACACCCAGCCCCATGTTCTTTACTATTCTTGGAAATGCTTTAATGGATCTTCCTTGGGAAAATCTACCTTCTCTACCTTCCTAGTTATGATCCACAAACGCCAACGTTAGAAAACAAAGGCACAATAACTCCTGACCACTAAAAATACAATGTATCACCCCAAAGATGATAGAGGAAGGTATCCGGCATTGATATTTTCCACAAAAAACACATTGGGTAGTCAACTGGCTCCTAGATAAGGAAGCATTTACTTCACTCAAATTGAAGATGTCAAAAACACAGTTACTATCTTGCTTTTAGGGAGAAAAAATTTAAGCCACCCCCGCTCATGAAAGAGAAAGATGAGGGGTTTCCAAATGAACAACCCAGGTAGGCTTGCAGCTGCACACATCCTTACAGTACTCCCCCAACCCCCACCAATGTAAGCTGGGAGCAGAGGATGAGGCTACTTGATGGGAATTCTGGAGTTTATCACACGAGACACTAGGTCTCAGCTCAATGGGCAAAGTAAAAACAAACTCACCATTTGATCCAGCTGAAAGAGCTGTGGAAAGAAAAGCAAACAGCCATGAATAAGCACGTGCTGGGTTTGTTGTTAAACTGAGAAATCAACAAAAAGTGAATGCCTGAAATGGGATCAATGTCCTTTCCAAACATTCAATCTGCCCATTCTCATCCAATATAAACACCAAAAAAATGCCAAGAACAATTGGAACCTTTGCTTGTTTTTTTTTTCTGAGTTATAGACAATTATTGCAAAAATACAATGTACTTATATTTTTACACTGCTGTTTTATTTATAGCTGGCAATCTTTGTTCTCTTTCTTTTTCCTTCTTTCCTTTTTTTGGGGGTGTAATTATTCAGAAGTATATGCCCTAAGAGACAATAGGTATTTTCTACTGCCTAAAATTAAAAGAACCTATTACCTACAGAGCTTGGAAATTCAACAGCTCTATAATGGCTCCGTAGGCCCATTTGTGGTAATCTGGGGTTTCAGCTCCAAAAGGCTAAATTTAACCCCTCTTACACTTGAACCTTAGTATCCACAATGCTAGAGTGACATAGATGCTGACATACTAACTACCTACTAACTGTGTCATTGAAGACTACTATGTATGAGGTCCCAGCATTCGTGAAATTGATGGAACACAGCTCCCTGATGCTGCAACCAAATGCCTGAGGACACTGTGCTAATATTTACACCAATTTCCAGTGATATCTGTAAACAGGTTAGTTTACTTCCGGAAAATTCTTCCAACTTAAAAGCTTAGGATTTAGGGACTCAGACTATATCCTCTTCAATGCAATCACATACCTGAAAGCTTAGGTTGTGTCTTTTTCTTTTTGCTTGAAACTTTTAAAAACTCATCAACAAGCAAGTCGTTAGCACAGGCTCTCTTGTCAGGGTCTGGTTCAAAACATTTCAGGATAAATGCCTTGGCCTCTGCAGACATGGATTCTGGGATCTCAGGGTGGACTTTAAACATTCCCACCTAAGACATAAATATAAAAAGTGCAATGTGCCTTCTGAGTGAACACCTCAGCACCTGAACCCCAGCTTCCATAACTTGATGCCCCAATGCAACAAGATCTTTTATTATACAACACAAACTCATGGTTTTTCTCAAAGGGAGATGAGATGCGTTTGCTCTAGGTTATAGAAGATTGACAGAGTGCCTTGGTAACTTTACCAAGGCAGAATAATTAGTTGAAGACAGTAGACAGCACTACAGAGTAATAATTTAGTCTTTCAAAGCTTTAGAACATATTGGTACACTGGCACACAAAAAGAATCTTTATTTTTATTTATTTATTTATTTTTGAGACAGGGTCTCACTCTGTCGCCCAGGCTGGAATGCAGAGTGGTGCCATCTCAGCTCACTGCAGTCTCGACCTCCCAGGCTCAAGCGATTCTTTCATCTCAGCCTCCTGAGTAGCTCAGACTACAGGGGCATGCTACCACGCCTGGCTAATTTTTTATACTTTTTGCAGAGACAGGGTTTCGCCATGTTGCACAGGCTGGTCCAAACTCCTGGGCTCAAGCGATCCACCCACCTCGGCCTCCCAGAGTGCTGGGATTACATTCATGAGCCACCATGCTCAGCCACTGAGCTGAGACCACTGAGTTGCTCACAATAGCTAAGTGCTGGGCATTGTGCTGGGGTTTCTCCACTTATGAATCTCATCAAATCCTTCCAACAACCCAGTGGATTAAATATTTTCCTTGTTACACCAATGAGGAAAATAAGGCTTAGAAAGGATGAGGTAACATGGTTAAGAAAAGAGGGATTGGCCGGGTGCGGTGGCTCACGCCTGTAATCCCAG